GATAGATAGATAGATAGATAGATAGATAGATAGATAGATAGATAGATAGATAGAGGTAGATGCTATAGATAGGTATAGATTGACAAGCAAAATATAGGAGTTGGACTGCAATATATACTTATATTTTATAAATGAACTTATTTTGCGGGCCCCGGTCTGCTGCTGTTTAAAAGAAGCATGAAGCTCCAGGCCTTTGACCAGCGGTTGTAAGATCTTCCCCACAACACACATACTTTATTCTATCCAGCCTGGGTTTTTTGCTTTCTTTGATCTTCCTTCCTTACAATGGGTGTTATTGTAATGGCCTTATTTTGACGTTTGAGTTGTCAGGGAGCCCAGCAGTGTGCAAGTGCGATAAGTAAATAAACAATAACCTTTAATCAGTGGCTCCTTCTGTGTGCAAAACTGGTCTAACTAGCTCAGCTGCTCAGTCCAAGAGGATTTCCTCCTGCTCAGGAGAAGAAGAGGCAGCAGCCCCCTTCCCAGGGGTGGGATTCTACCAGTTCACCTCTTTTCGCTAGAACCGGTTGTTAACATTCTAAGCAATTCAGAGACCCAGTTGTTAGAAGAAATTACAGGGCTAATCCTGTAAGGAAGGCAGGAAGGAAACATTCTGGTGTTGCTTACAGAAACTGCCTCTCCATTAACCCTTATTACATTCTTGGCAGGACTAGACTTCCTGTCTCTGGAACTTCTCTGGAGTTTTTTTTCCCTCCTTTGCTGGTACTTTGCTTGTGTGGAGTGATCATACAAAGTTACAATGGCACTCAAAAAAGTGACTTATGACCATTTTTCACACTTACGACTGTTTCAGCATCCCCACAGTCATGAGAGGCCAGGAGAGGAGATGCGTGCCTCAATGTGAGTGATATTGAATTGGCCACACCCACCCAGTCACATGACCACCAAGCCATGCCACCAACTAAGACACGCCCACAGAACCGGTTGTTAAAATTTTTGAATCTCACTCTTGCCCCTCCCCCATTGCCAGTCTTCCTAAACTGACCACTTGAAATAGGATTGGCCTGGCCCTCAAGCCTTGTAAACAGCCCAAGGCAACTCCCGAGACCCCAGACAGCCTGAAATCCATCTGCGGAAAGAATATAAACTAACATTTTTAATTTAATCTCTTTTAGGCTTTTTTTTGTAGGTGCTCGGGAAGGGCACCTGCCTTCTGTCCTGTCCATGATCCACCCCCGGTTGCTCACTCCTGTGCCCTCCCTTGTCTTCACGGTAAGGAGGCTCGCAGGAGTGCTGAGGTTCCTTCTGGGAGAGGCTGTGTGTGTGTGTGTATGTGTTTGTGTGGGGGGAAATCCCATTTCAGTGCTTTTGAAGCTAGTTGTCTGACAGAATAGAATAAGGGTCCTTCAAACTTGGCAAGTTTAAGGCTTGTGGACTTCGACGCCCAGAATTCCTGAGCTAACATGACTGGAAGAGGAATTCTGGGCGTTGAAGCCCACAAGCTGTCAAGTTTGAAGGACGCTTGGAATAGAACATTGCTTTCTAACTCCAGTAAGCATCTAGTCCTGAACAATAACTCCACACCTGCCCAGTTGTGAGAGTTTTGGAAGCCTGCAAGTTTGGGGATGCCCCTTGAGGGTGAGAAGGTTGCTCCGGAACTTCTATGTCCCCGTCCTTCCCCTGAAGCACCCAAACAAACAGTGGATCATCCCCTTTTGAATGCAGCCACCTCAGGTTCTCCTTGGTGGATCCCGGTTCTCTGGACTTCCTGCCCCTCTGTGGAGCTCTCGTTGGCTGCCTTTCTGCTTCCGTACCCCATTCTGAGCTCCGAATGGCAGACCTCACTCCAATGGGCAATATCCACCGTTTGCAACCGCTCTATCCCCACGTTTGCAGAATCTCCGGACTTTGGATGAAGCGAGCGTTGGCTGAGGTGGCCCTTCCCTGAAGCGGCCGTCTCCCAGCTCGTGCACGGCACTGATTTCTCTCCTCGGCCCCTTCTCTCCGTCCGTCTCTAGTGCCTCATGACTTTGCTCTACGCCTTCTCCAACGACATCTTTTCGGTGATCAACTTCTTCAGCTTCTTCAACTGGCTCTGCGTGGCCCTGGCCATCATCGGCATGATGTGGCTCCGGTACAAGAAACCAGAGCTAGAGAGGCCCATCAAGGTAAGCTTGTCTGACATTAACCAGGAAGGTTCTGGGACCGGTTTTGCAAGGGATCCCCTTAAAGGACCGTTTGGGTCCTCTAGGTTTTCAGTCCTGAAGCTAGTCCAGACCTGAGGATCCTTGGGATTGTTTGGATGTAGGCGCAGACCTGGTGGGTCTTTGGACCAAAGCGCTCTTGAGTTGTTCCCTTCGTGCTTCTATCACCCTTGGCCTTCCTTGGGTTCTCCCATGCAGGTCAATGTGCTGTTGCCCATTTTCTTCATCCTTGCGTGCAATTTCCTCATCGCCGTCTCCTTCTGGATGACCCCGAAAGAGTGTGCCATTGGCTTCGCCATCATCTTCAGTGGCGTCCCCGTGTACCTGATTGGTGTCTGGTGGAAAAACAAACCGAAGTGGCTCCTGCAGAGCATCTGTGAGTACTCGGGTCAATTCCCAGGAGCTGCGTTGGATGGCATGGGTGGTGAGAGAGACAGTCACCCACAGATCCTTCTCCTCAGAGATGGGGTAGCCCTTCCACCGGGTTTGAACCTTTCTTTCGGTGCCACCAGAACATGAGAAGTGGCGGGAAGAGGCTACCTGGATCTTCAGCAATCACACCTTGTACATGCCTGGAGGAAAGGCAGGACTGGACAGGATTGGGAGGGGCACCAGCCACTTCCCCTAGCCAAGCCGTGTGGGTGTCCACGCCCTGGTGTCTCTTGAAAGGAGCAGCCAGGCGTGCTTGGGCTTGGCAGCAGCCGATGCCAAACTCAGCCTCCAGGTGTTAAGGCCGTCTTGATGGGAACTGTGGGAACTGAAGCTGGGACAGGTGGAAGCTGGACTTTGGCGTGTCCAGCATGTCTTCTGTGCTGAAGCCAACCTCCGATTCCATTTTGCCAGTAGAGGAGAGAATCCGCGTAACTCGGGGTTGACAGGAGGGGTCCTTGGGGCTCTCTGAGGTTGGTGGTTTTCTTGCAGATGTTTCATTACCAAATTCGGTAAGATCTTCACTGTTGATGATGCTACCTAAGTGATTAATGAAACATTTGCAAGAAAACCACCAAGCTCAGAGAGCACCAAGGACCCCACCAATCCCATTTTTACCATTTTACACATTTGTGGATCCAGTAATTCAGAGGAATCCCTGCTTTTATCTTTTGGGGGGAAGAGAACCCCTAAAATTATCCAAGTGACTTTCTTAACTATGGATGCTTCTGCCATCCGTCGGTTTCTTCTTGTTCAAGGAATTAACCGCCCTTCTATTAAAAGCCCCTTTTCTTGTCCTGCAAAGTCCATTCTGGACGGAGAATAGGCTGGCGGAAGAAATTATTCCCAGGGACGTGGGTGGAAATTTTGCCAGGATTTTAACTGGAATCATCTGATCCTGGTACCTCATGCAATTTCCCAAACCCTTTTTCTTTTCGGTCCACCCACAAGGCACCAGTCAGTGTGGCCAAAACTAATTTTCTAGGAATTCACAATGAATCCCCACCACACCCCAGGATTCCTGGGTGCAGAAGCCGTCCTCATGTTTTTCTTTGGCTCATGACAAAAGGAAATGGTTAAATCCAAACAGGGACACCACCATTTGTTTAGAAGGACTTTTAAATTTGAGCTTAAAGGGACTCCAGAAGATGGTAGAGGACAGGGAGGCCTGGAGGAACGTTGTCCGTGGGGTTGCAATGGGTCGGACACGACTTTGCGACTAGCAGCACCCACTACTTTTAAATGGAATTATACAAACTGCCACGACTCCATCCTCTTTGGTGGGAAGGACAAGCGATAGAGATGGTGCAATTCTTCTAGTGGTGTGAGCACCTCTCTTTGTGTCCTGGGTGACCAATTTAGGTGTGGCAGTGACCTCAAAAGCTCGTTCTGGTCGTGTAATGGTCCTCCTTTTTTCCCCTCACCAACAGACTCCACCACAGTCCTCTTCCAGAAGCTGATGGAAGTGGTTCCTCAAGAGTAAAGGAGTGAAGGAGGGTGTGTGAAACCATCGATCTTTAGTTCAAGCCAACGCACAACATTGTTTTTGAAACACAAGTATGTCTGATTCCTCCCTGGAAAAATGGAAACAGCAGAGACAGCCTGGAGATCTCTCGGCCCACCTCTGGTCCTCTTGAGGTCTTCCCTGACCAGGCCCTTGAGAAGATGCTGGCAGAGAAGAACCATCCCAGGTGCAAATTTTAAAATTGGGAAGAGGAGGTCGCTTAGAAGAGGCCTCCACCCAAAATGGGGAAGCCCACAAGGATGTTTTGTTTACATGCTCAACTATGGACTTTATTTAGTTTTTCCACCAGCTGGCAGAAAAAAAAAGAGGGGGAAAAATGCAGACAATAGATGAGATCCAGCAACGTAGGGTGTTCCTCAAAAGACGTCTGCCGACACTGAACACTCCTTGCCAACAAAGGGGGCTCTGCAGAAGAAGACAACCCCACAAACTGACGTCAGGCTGAGCGGCCCCCACCTCAGCACTTCTCATTCTCAGTGGACTAAGTGGTTCTGACATGAGCAATTTTTTAAATTGTTTAATTTTTTTAGTGACATTATTTTTAAAGCTTTCTCCTCCTTGAGACCCCCACGTGACCATGTTGTGTCTGTTTCCCATAAGGGGTTTTGTACAGTTTTAATTGGCATCCTGACAAATTCCCCCATCCGGGTCAGGCTGAAATTTCTAGACACTCCTCAAACTAGGATGGATCCGTGCAACCGTCTCCAGAGCAATACTTCTCAAATTGGACCAGTTTAAGCCGCGTGGACTTCCAGAACTCCCAGAATTCCTGGCTGGGAAATTCTTGGGAATTGGAAGTCCATACAGTTTAAATCAGGGGTCGCCACCCTGGGCAACTTTAAGACTTGTGGAATTCTGGGAGTTGAAGTCCACAAGTCTTCAAGTTGCCAAGGTTGGAGACCCTTGGTTTACAGTGCTCCACGTTGAGAAAAAAGCCACTGAATTTGCCAGTTGAGGGAACGTGATGCATGACATTGGGAAGTTTTCTTACTTGGCGTCCTTGTTTGAAACGCATTTCCTACTAGCATTCAGTGGTTCTACTAAACGTATTACATTTTTGTTTCCTCGCTGCCCAGAATGTCATTCCTTACAGCACCATAAATGTATTCTTAAGAACGGGCTGGAGCCGGCTATCATGCGCGGTGGATGACATGGGAAGCATAAGGCAGAGGAGAGCATCGAGTGGGAACAAGCAGAACATCCATGTTCTGTGCACATCTGTGTGTCTGTTTTTTTTATGCACGCGTGTCTGCTTCCGTGGCACTTTTCTTGGTCCACAGCTTTTCTCAAGCACACAACTAGACTTTGGCCAAGCAAGCAACAGGGTAGACCTTTGAGCTATAGAGTGGAGAATTGAAATCGGCACTTGTGTGATTTATTGTCTGTTATGGCTCTCTCATGGGACCGCATTGCTTAGAATTGGGTGGGATGCTTCGACTCACGGGATACGTTTTTCTTTCTCTTCCATTCTCGGGGAATGTCTGGTCTGGAAAGTTTGGTTCCTCTAGAGCGGGAGGTGTCCAACCTGGGCAACTGTAAGACTTGTGGACTTCAACTCCTAGAATGTCTGGATCTCAGATGCATGGAGTTCAGCTCCCAGAATTCCCCAGCCAGACACTGAAGTTGAAGAGTTGAAGTCCACACATCTGGGAGTCTGGACATTCTGGGAGTTGACGTCCACAAGTTTAAAAATTTGCCAAGGTTGGACGCTCCTGATTTAAACTTGAGCTGCAAAAACTTTCAGCCAGCGGGAGCGCAGAAATCCAGACGGGACAGCGCCTCCGTTAAATAAAACATATAAATCCAAACTTTATATGGTCAAGCAGGATGCAAGAAGTGGTTTTCCTTTGTTCTTGCTTGCAAGATGCTAACCTGCACACGTCTTCATTGTTTGCTTCACGGAGTTGTGAACATTGTGGTTATTGAAACAAGGAAACAGGCGAAATAATTTGGCGGGAGGAGAATAGTTGAGGGCAGTCCATCTGTCAGTTGTGATGCCAACAAATGCAGATTCTAAAAACCCAGGCGCCACAATGTCGAACCTCGTAGAGGGGGCATTTTTAACTCTTTCTGCCATGTTTTCTCGAGTCCTCCGTGCAGCTGCTCTGAATCCTCTTCCCATCTGTTGTCTGTTGCAAAATGGTTTTTGTGCCTTTATTTCCCAATATTAAGGAAATGGGCTGCTGTTAACATTTACAATTTCTAAATAACATGGTGGTTCAGAAATGCAGAAAGTCATCATAGCGATCATGTTTTATAAAGAGGGACGAGGCCATCGTTCTTCAGCACATCTGGTGAGGTTTGGCCCCTTTACTGCTAAGTGCTCTTTTGTCTGTGGACAGGGTGGCACCCAGATCTCAGGTCCTCCAGATGGGTTGCATTACAGCAGCCTTTGTCCCCCGCCTGCCCAATTCACACTTTTTACAAGGAGCCGTGTAGCAGTTTCCCATCCAACTAGTGCACCTGCTGTGGGCACCGCCTGGCTTTGACCATTGTTTCACTCACCAATTTAGTATGCTAGGCGTTTTATTTCTAAAGGGGGGCAGAAATGTGGAGTACAATCCCCGGGTGAGAACTGCAAAAAAAAAAAGATTGCAGTTCAGAGCTTTCCAATTCACCCTCTTCCCCCAGGGACAGGCCATTCTGCTTCGCCCCCCCTCATTTCCGCTGCTTTACCACTCAAAAATATTCGGCATTCTCTAGGTATTTATTAAGCGCACTCAAGTTTTGCGGAGCTTTGTAGAATTGCTTATGTGTGTGTGTGTGTGTGTGTGTCCCCACCCTATTCCTTTTCTTCTTAGTTGTGCCTTATTGTTTTTGGACTTCTGCAAAGAGGCTTACTGCCCGTTTTGGCTTCAGTTGCACTTACCGTTACCGGTGGAGCCAAAAAGTCAAATCTCGCAGGCTGCAACTTTGTAAAAGAAACCAGCCTGTCAACCTAGGAACGGCTTTGCTTTGTTGTGCGTTGCCCAGGTGTCTTTCACCATGTCTTTTCTTTGAGCCACGTAGTCCGGTTCTGCACCTCTTTTTACCAGCTTTGTGCATCTGCCTGGTTGACTTTCTAGTTGCTTGATGTCAAGCGTGCCTCAAGAAAAGGCTAAGGGTGCAATTGTGCATGAGCATTGAGCCAAAAATCCATCTCTAAGGCCCCAATGACCGAGGAGAGCTCTCCAGCTGGTTCCCAAACAAAGGTGATGTCTCTTCAACTAAGAGCAGCGGGGTGTCCTAGCTTGGCAGCTATCACACCTGTGAGCAGTGGCTGGCTGAGGAATTCTGGGAGTTGAGGTCCACAAGTCTTAAAGGTGCCAAGCTTGGACACCCCTGAACTAGAGTGGAATGACCATCCAGGCACATGTTACGATCCTTCTGGACCTCTTACTGTTTGTCTTATGGATGGATGAGGCTCATTTCAGGAGTGGAATATTTGAGGAGGGGGGTCTTCTGTGCCCACGTGGAGAAGGCAGAAAGACTACAAGCCTTGTAGCCCTATTTAAGGTCAAAGGTTTACGTGCTCGAGCAAATGAGCACTCCTGCTCCCCAAAATGGTGCTTTTCAGAAGAATGCAAAACCCCAGGATCCGAGGCATTCCAGGCCCGGGTTTTCTCAGCAATTTGCTTGAAAAGTTCACGCGGATTTCCCTTGTCTTAGGTTGCATCTCTGTCCTTAATCGGTCTTCTTTTAAATCCCTTGGAAGCAGATTAATCGCACAACATTTGCACAGGCAACAGGGTTGTTATCTTTATAACTACTGAGTGATATCTGACTCCTGAGAAATCTATATTTTCTTTTAATATAGTTTTTTTTTAATAAAATAAAAAGAAATAATGAAGTCTTTAAGCTAAGGAAAAAGAAACATAATTTTGAAAACTTTTTGTTACATTTGGAAAATAAATATTTTTACTAATTTAATTATTGTGCTCTATTTTAAACAAGTATTGGTATAGAAAGTGCAGCTCTACTATCTGATATTTTGCATTTGTTCATATAGAGTTGATTCAAGATTTGTGCTGCTTTTTTTCATGAGTTCTGTAGCAAAAAGAGTCGATTCTGCCTTGTAAAAAGATGTGTCATACAGTCCAGTCTGTCCTTTTTTTTACTGTGTTATTCTCCCCTTCTGGTTTTGTTACTGTTCATTATAAACCATAGCTATTCCATTTTAAAATGTTCTGGTTTTTATTTGAACAAAGTTTTCTGAATTTCTAGCTTGCTGCTCTGAGTTGAGTATTTTTTGGTTCGCTTGTTTAACGTGGATCTCGGCAGGGTCTTCCCCCAAGGAACATCCATTTCTGATCCTTCACCAATCCGAAAAGAAAATCAAGATTATTTAGGCAGGTCCAAATGGGTGTGCAGGGAATATTGCCCCAAGTTGAGAAAAGACTGCATGCTGTGAGGATTCTGGGGGATTCTGGGACTTGAAGTCCACAGGTCTTTAGAGTTACCAAGGTTGAACACCCCTGGAATAAACCCTATTTGGCCATGAGTGCATCGTGCCACAGCGCAGGTTTGCAAACCAAAATCTCCCACTTTGTACAAATTTTGAACTTGCAAAATAGTTGAAGGATGCATTCATCAACTCTGCACAAAGCCAGGAAGACAACGCTTCGTTGTTACAAAGTGGTTTCAGCATGTGTGAATGCAGTTATTAGATCTTTGCTTACACTGGTAATAGAAAAACAGAAGGTAATTTTCCTTTTCCCGGGCACTGTTGGAAAAGGATTTTCACCTGCAAATAAGAGAAAGGCAGATGTACAGATTCCAAAGCAGGAAGCGCTTGGTGTGCTTCAGAAATTGTGCACTGAGTTCTAGCAAGCTCAGCTTGTTTTTACGCCCCTGGAAATCCAAAAGGCTTTTTCCAAACCGTAATCCAAACATCAGAGCGGCTGGTGGGAAGAATCTGCTGATACAACTACTGGCAGTTTTCTTTACGAGAACTGTAATCGGGGGCACATCTGACTTCCAAATACCCAGCTTCCAAAATGGATGGCTGCGAAGACCTTGTTCTAATGCCTCGGTCTTTTTCAACCGTCTCCAGCACGAAGGGGCCCAAGGAGAAAACGGGAAGGGGGTGCTACATTGCCACAGCTCTACAAAAATCCCTGCAGATGGCATTTTGTGGGCAAGCTCCCTCTAATTGTAATAGAGCCAGCCCTTGATGCTTTGTTTTCCGCTAAAATAATAATCCTGCCTCCATCCATTACAGGAGAGAGGAAGGAAAAGAGAAGATTAGGATCCTTCAGATGAGCTTTCTAAATCGAATGAACTTTGTTGCGGGTATACCTAGCAATTTGCAAAATCCAGGATTTAATCTCCTTTCTGAGGCACCACCTGCCTGAGACAAATTGCTATCCCTTTTTTTTTTCTTCCAAAGAGCAGCCAGTTTCCCAGGTAAGTTGCAGTCGGAAGATGCCATAACAGAAGAGAAGAAGATACTCTTAATGTTCTTATTGAGCTGGACTCGAGGATAAACTAACATTCCTTCCTCTGATTCTTCACTCAACCCTTGTCTCTTTCAACGACACAAATCAATCGACAACATGCCTTAGTGCTGAGTTGCAAGATAACAAGCCTACTAAATCTGCATCCAAGTTGGAAATGGAATTGGCTGGAGATCCAAATTCACTCCTTTGTATTCAGTTTATGCCTGCGTGGATGCATGAAACCACCAAAGAAACTCAGAATTGAAAGGGTTGTTCCAATTTCATAAAAAACAGCAAACTCTTGCAAGCTGTGAATGTGAGGGGAAATGTGATATCCAAGAAAGTGACTTTTTTGTTGTTCCTTGCTTGAGAAGGAAGACAATAGTTCAAAGAGTGAGAGAAACATCTGTGGCCGAATGCTCAATGCTCCAAGCAATCATTTGTGACTCATCTAAAAAATAGTACTTTGATCACACTATTGGGGGTCATCTTCACTTCTGACCATACCCTATGGACACACACACACACACACACACACACACACACACACAGTGAGAGAGACAGCTGCTCTGTACTTGTGACTTCAACTGAGTGAGGACTGATGCAAAGATGCAGGACATTTTCACTCCTATCTGGACTTCTGGTGCAATGAATCAAGTCCAAACCTTCCTTTCTCTGGTCTTCTGAGCCCAGTTTTCTTACCCAGCACATAACTGACTGCCATGCCTGAACATCTCCAGTTGGACCTGAGGAATGGAGGGTATCTTCTGTTCCTCCATGTCTTCTCCTGAACCCCTGGTCTCCCTGGTTCCTGTCAGGCTGGAGAAGAACTGAGGACGGCCCTTACAGCTCCTGCTACGTGTGCAGCTCAGACCCCCTTCTCTATCAATAGAGATGATTATCTTACCTTTGTTCTAGACATACCTGTTCTTGGCTAAGACACATCCACGCTTTGAGGACATTGTTTGGGATTGTTTAGCTTGGCCCCGTTGGGTGCTGTGCTCTCCACAAAGCACTTAATTGAGCCCAACACGGTCACAAATGGCTCCTTTCTCTGGGAGCCAAAGAAAACACAAATGTCAAAAGATAAAAGCTGCCAGGCATGTTATAAATATCCCATCTGCAGGAAAGCAGATCAAGATAAGAGGCCAAGCAGAGTCTGGTCTTGAACGCACTTCCTCCTCCCCAATTCTGGTGACACACACTTGTTTGCACACCATTCCTATCCAACCCACCTTACATAAGTAAATGTCGCGAAGAGGCACGACCCCTCCTGTTGGAAAAGCACACGGGCACCTTGGGCTGCTCGTGCACAATCCCATCTTCTTTTCTTAGGAATCGTATTTGTTGTTTATTTCTGGAAATTGCACCCCACCAGATTCTTCTCCTTATTCCGGGAACTGTTTTAGTTGTTTAGCGCTGTGTTTTATGTCGCTGCTGATGAGACATCTTCTCCAAACCCTGTGCAATTCCCCATCTCCCCTGGCACAGGAAATTTAGCCTCCACCCCTGATGGCTGCTCCATTACAAGTTCAGGCCAGGGAGCGCATGAGGCAAGACCGTGCAGCGTGGTTGGGGCCGACTGCCGGAGGCACGGCGTGGGCCCTGAGAGAGGTGCCCAGGCATGGCTTTGACTGCAACGTTGCATCATTAATCCCGCTCAGCACATCAGCGTTGTAATCCTAGCTGTAGGGAAAGGTAGCTGTCAGGAAGGTGAGACAGGACCTGCAGAAAGAGGAGATCTACAGGGATGGTGAGGGATGCGAGGATCTTGAAGAAAGTCCAAGGTCTTTGAAAACGATGGTGGGACAAGTCTTGCAAGACCCGTCTGCTGCTTCTAATTTTTGGGTCTTCCCTCTCCACCCTTCCTTCTCCTGCCACCTGCAGTTTTTCTCATGCTAGTCACTATCAACGCAGAAATCTGTTTGATGGCCACCTCCTGCACTCACTGTTCCCAGGTAAACTGCAGGCTGAGTGAGCAAACAGGTGGAGAAGTGCACCCGAATTGCCAATCCCTCCTCCCAGGTGAAGGGGGCAATATTTCTGCAGCTTCTCTTTGCCTCCCTCTGGCACAATTTAATTCCAATGGACACATGGAAGAAAACAGGCAGAGACTAAGAGGCCTCGACGTGAATGCAAACATCTGACAATGCCTCCGTTTTCTATCAGCCCCCAAAGGGATTACAGACTAAGGGCAGTCCATGTCCACAGACTAGAGGAGTGGACTTATCTGTGGATGAGATAAGAGGCTGTAGAGCAGGAATCCCAACCAGCACTGGCAGCATACGAAACCACGCTCTCTCCAGTCCATGGAAAAATCTTTCTCCATGGAACCGATCCTCGGTGCCCAAAAGGTTTGAGGGCAGCTGCTGCTGTAGAGATTCCTCACTAGGGTCTTCTGGTGTCCTCCAACCTCCATAAGAACACCAAAGAGGCTTTCTTTCACTTCAGTGGCAATAGGGTGGCTTTAGACGCTATATCACTCCAGGGGAAATCCAGAACTTTAAACACAAACTGTTGAAAGTTGAGGGATTTCCAAACTGGTGAACTTGTTGTTAAAACAGAAACACTCTCTGAAAATAAACCCATGTAGTAACAACCCAAAGACACAGCTGTCTCCAGGAAAATCCTTCGAACCTTCTATGTTCCCCAGAGGTATGGACTCCGACTCCCAGAATCCCTGGCTATGAATTTTGGGAGTTGGAATCCCAAGCTCCATCAGGCTTAGGATGGCTGGCCTTTGGCCTTCTCCTGAAGATGACCAATGCTTTGACTGTTCTGCCTTGTGGACAAGTGTTGAAAGGTACTGCACTGCTCTTCAAAGGTTCCCTAATAACTAGGAGCAGTCTCTATATATGATGCTACTTTTTATTATTATAAATAATTTTGGGAGGTTATAAAAGCAGTACACAATCGTGAATGGGTGCACGGGAGCACAAGGAAGCCGCAAAGCAATGCAATTTCACAGCCTGATGAGCTTCTTTGGACTGGTTGATGATGGCTGGTAGGACAATTAAACCCCTTTCACAGATATCTCACTAGCACAGCAGTTTCTCTCCTGCTTTTTAAAACAGAAAAGATAACTGCAGACAGGGAATCCAGCACAGACAATACTTTAGGAAATGATCGGGAAAAGAATATTCAGATGATGATCCTCTGGGCTAGAAATAATGCAAGCGTGGACATTTACTGAAGGACGTTCCTCATGTATCGCTTAATCCCCGTAATCACTCCAGTGTATTAATACGCTGGAGATTTTAAAGAAGAGACTGGACTATTTGCCCGGAATGATTTAGGGTCCCCTTCCAATTCTGTTATTCTAGGTTATTCATGAAGTCCCGTTTGTTCCCGTGATCCATAGCTGATCTAGATTATTCTGTACTTGTTAGATCCATTCAGGTTGTTGTTTTTTTTCCTCCAGGGGATTTAAGGAAGAGAGTTTTCTTCATCTTATCTGCACAACAACCCCATTTGTGAGGTAGGAGGATCTAAGAAAGAGACAATTAATTATTAAGGTAGCTAATTCATTGACTTCCGTAGCTGAGATGGCTTTGAATCTGGCTCACCCCCGTCGAGGTCCAACACCTCAGCTGCTACATATCACGATGACTTCCCGTTGAGAGATGGAGGGGCAACAGGTGAGACCCGACAGACTGCTGGCACCCTGCCCTGAGGCCCAGTTCTTGGGGCCGGATGAGGGTGCCCTACAGGGTGGGTTGTGGGCCTTTCAGCCTTGAACAGTTTGCTGTTTTTTTCTGTGTCCTCAAAATTCGCTTAAGAGTCCCCCTGAGCACCTGAAAGGAACTCCTCCTGTCCGTGGCTGCCTTTCAGATTGGAAGACGGGGGAAGAGGGAGCTGGAGAAGAGGGGCTGGTGGAAGGGAGCCTTCCCACCGCCTGCCATGACAAAGCAGATGGAAACAACTCCTAAAGCCCCCACAGAAGGAGTTAGACAACCGGAATCCTTGTATCCAGGGGGAGGGAAATCTAACACAAGGAACCTAATTAGGTCATGGTGGGAATTTGGGAGATGAGACAGTTTGAGTGGGGTTAACCCAGGAAGAAGCCGGGAGGTTTTTCTACCCAGAGACCCTCTTGATGAAGGCGAGGAGAGGTTTCGGGGTGGAAAGGGCTCAGGAACAGGTCTTGGCTGGCTCCCCAGCAGGGTCAGGCCCAGTCTCCGTCCCATAGAAATGCAGACCAGGCACCCTGGCATGATGCAACTTTGCGGCTGCTCTTGCACCATCCTCCTCTCAGGGATGGGATGACGGGCAACCGGAGCTTCTAGAGTAGACCAGGCTGCGAGGTTCCACCTGGAGAAGCGGCCCGGCCTCTGCATAAGACTGCCACCTGCTGGCGATTGGCAGCCCCTTGCGCTGCAGCAGCTCATCACATCGCAGCCAAAATTGCATCAGCTGCATGCTGGCAGAAGGAGGGACTCCTGCATCTATGGGGAGGGGGGGGGTTGTCCCTTTGCCCACGTAGCCGCTCCCTGGGAACCGTCATTTTCCTTCCTTTCCTGGCATCATCTGCCTTTGGGCTTCACCCAAAAACTCAAAACCCCAATCCTACAAAAATTTTATTTCATGACTGGATCTTGTATCTGAGGCTTCCAGCCAGCCTGGAAGGGAGGGTGAGGAAAAGGAGGTTTCTGGGTGGCTGTGGGGTCTTTGGCCAAAGGAGGGGACCCTTGGTGCCCTTTGCACTTGGTTGTTTTCTTGCAGATGTTGCACGACCCCAATCAGGCAACCTCATCAGTGCATTTGGGTTGTGAAGCCTCTTGCGAGAATTGACCACCCCGCTCGGAGAGCACCAAGGACCCCCCCCACACCCCCTGTCAACCCTGAGCCACCGAGATTCCCCATGGCTGCTGCTCCCAACTGCTGTTTTTGCAAGGCTGCACCCAGCGCTCCCTCCTGGCCTTGCAAAGCAGCCTCCCTCCCGCAGGTGGCAACCCTTCTGCGGACTCCCGGCCTCTCCGCCTCCTGGCTCTTTTCGCTGGCAGGAAATGCCCCGGGAAGAGGAAAGGCAGGAGGTTTTGCCAGGCCGGGGCGGCCATGTGAGCGACGCCTGCAGCCTCCCCAGAGCTGCCCCGACTTGCAAAGATGGGCAAGAAAAATAAGAAGGAGAAGAAGGCAAAGGGGGCCGAGAAGACGGCCGCCAAGATGGAGAAGAAAGTCTCCAAGAGGACCAAGAAAGAGGAGGTGATGACACGCGTGCAAGGGATGCAGGGGCTCTTCCAGCTGCAGGGCAGGCGGGCATCCAACAGGTCCAGACTCTCCCTCCCCCTCCCTCCCTCCCTCTCTCGTCTTTGCCTGCCCTTCCCCGGCACAACAATTCCCCCTGTGCAATCCAAGGTGCGAGGGATTGGTTTAGTGCAAGAGAAAGGAAGCAGTGAGTTAGTGCAACAAATTAGTGCAAGAGGAAGAAATGTGCAACAGTGAGTGGGAAACACCCCCGCCCCATTTATTTTGCTGGGGGGGGGAGAGAAAAATGAATTTGGGAGGTAGAAAGGGCACCTCCTGGAAAGAAAGCAGGATGTAACCCTAACCCTAACCCTTTCCTTAGAGAGAAAGAGCAAAACATTAGCACATTTATCACCACGTTTAATAAGATTGAAAGGCGTAATCTTTATAATTCTCACCCACCCCTAATTTCTTCTCCCACTATGCACCATTTTTCCGTTATCTGCTCTGTCTCTTTTCTGTTTGGATCTTGATAAAATCTCTTTCGCCGAAGTTATGCGCGCACACGAACAGGTGCTCTCATATACGCGTGAGGGAATGAGCCGGGGTGGTCCCAGTTTGGGGGTGGGTGGGGGGGACGCCTCCCTTTTTGTCGCGAAACGACAAGCCCTCGTCCCGAATTGCAGGAGGACCTGGAGGCGCTGATCGCCCAGTTCCAGTCTCTGGATGCCGCGAAGACGCAGGTGCTGGAGACCCCCTGCGCCCCTCCCTCCCCCAGGTGAGAGTGGAAACGGGGCGGATCTTGGGGCCGTCGGGAGAGTTGGGCCTCCCAATGTCTTGCGCACCCCTCTAATCCCCAGTGAAAAGCTGCTAGTCCTCATGAACTCTTCCTCCCTGAAATCTTGCGCTTGGTTTGCTTAGCCTCCTTTCTTCTTGGTCCCCAGGCTCAACGCCTCTTTTAACGCCCACCCTGAGAAAGACGAACTCATCCTGTTTGGAGGTGAATATTTCAATGGCCAAAAAGTAAAGTATTCCCTTTTTTTTTTCCCCCTCTCTCCTCCTGAAACTTCATGTCAAACTTTGTTTTAAGGAATTTGCAGGGCCCCAAATGGATCTATGCCTTATTCCCAGCGCTGATCCATATGGGTGGTTCTCGATGTGTGACCACGACGGAGCCTAAAATCTCTCTTGCTAAATGAGATGTTGGTTTAGTGGGCTTTATCCAGGGGGGAAGAGAACGGTGGGGAAGATGGAGGAAGGGTTCTGCTAAAATCTCTTGACTGAATGGATTTCTCATTAGTAGCCCTTCGTTTTTAATTGCTAATTTTATCGGTTTTGGTTCTGTCGGCTGCCTTCAGGAGCTTCTCTGAGCAGAAAAAAAAGATAAATAGATAAATGCAAATAATGCATATAGGGAAGAAAATGTTTTTTTCCCTCTGCTTCTCATAGCAATTGATTTCATGGTCGAGTCATCAAAGTTTATTTGGCAGGAAATGTAAAGCAGGCGTGGGACAACTTCAACCCATAGCGTGGAACGTATTTATAGAACCGGTCGCTATAATCTAAAGGAAGGGTCTTCCAACTTGGCAAGTTTAAGACTCGTGGACTTCAATTCCCAGAATTCCTGAGCTAACATGACTGGAGGAGGAGGAATCCTGGGAGTTGAAGTCCGCAAGTCTTAAATCTGTCAAGTTTGAAGGCCCCTGGTCGAGAGGTCTCCAAATCTGGAGGAGGAGGAATTCTGGGAGTTGAAGTCCACAAGTCTTAAAGCAGCCAAGTTGAGAGACCCAACTGTGCTGTGAAGACCACGAATGGCCTCAAGGTGGAGCTTCAGCCTTTCTCCTCCTCTGGATACCCAATATTCTCACGGGAGGAAGGGTGGGAAGGGCTGATGGCATCGTCTTGCTCTGATGAGTGGAGGACCAGCTATCCGGAGGATCTCAGTTGAAGGGGGCTTGCGTTTTGCTTCTCAGTTCTTGGCCTTGGGATGGCCACTTTCCTCCCACGGAGTAGGGCAGGATCACAGCAGCTTGGAGGATCTGCGGTTGCTTCAGTAAAATAGGGGTCTGTTTAGGGCTGACCTGACCTGGATTTGGATACTGAAGCAACCGGTGCCACCCAAGGAATTTGATGAATTTCCAGAGCTGCAAAACTAGAAAAGGCTGGCTGGGTTGTTGTTTTGAGATATCAAGTTGTGCAGTAAAATGGGCCTTTCCTGGAAGATCTCCACTTCTAGCAAAGCCCCCCTCCTCCTCCTCCTCCTCTGATGTTTCCCTTAGACCCTCCTCTACAATGAACTCTTCGTTTACAACATCCGGAAGGACAGCTGGGCTAAAATTGATATTCCGAATCCTCCGCCTCGTCGCTGTGCTCACCAGGTATGGTGGTTGTGAGACGCTGAGGTTAGGATCATCCACTGGGCCAAGCCAGGATGGGCCTTGTTTCGTAATAGGATAGATGGATGAAGGAACATCGCTAACGTAGCTTCTCCTCCAGAAAAGATGGTTCTGTAAATGCATGTGGAGGTCCTCCCCGCCTCACTTCCATTTCCAACCTATCCCTACCTCCCTCCCTCCCTTCCTTCCCTCTTGTCTCACCTTCCTTCCTTCCTTCCCTGCCTTTTGTCTCACCTTCCTTCCTTCCTTCCTTCCTTCCTTTCCTCCCTCCCTCCCTTCCTTTCCTTCCCTCTTGTCTCACCTTCCTTCCTTCCTTCCCTGCCTCTTGTCTCACCTTCCTTCCTTCCTTCCTTCCTTCCTTCCTTCCT